GTCAGACATAAAGGTGGAGGCCGTCAGACACTGGAGCAACAGTTCACAGACATTTTGAATAAATGTTCAAAGTCGTTAGAGTCGTTCGATCGTCTGAGACTAAAACACATTTTATTTTATGATTCATTCATTTTATTCTCAACAAGCTGAAGTGTCCTTATCGCCCCCTGGTGCCTGGCTGCAGTATAACCCTGTCTGCTCCATGTTAGCAGACGGGACATGAACCAAACTAAGAATCAAATTAGACGTTAAATTAATATTTGTAAAGATGTTTCTGTCGTTGAGCTCGTTCTCATCTCACTGATGTTTGCTCAAGTTTCTGATGATATAAAAACAGGCGGAGACGTTATGATTGACAGCTGACACATGATTGACAGCTGACACATGATTGACAGCTGACACCGGGACATTTGAACTTGATCATACAACAAACAGGAATGAGGTGATACTGAAAAACAAGTGACATCATCAGGAAGGAATCAGTCAAGTGACACTGTTCAGGCTGTGAAGTCATGAATAAGTTAACGAGGTAACAAAGTAATTCATTCATTAAAATACACAAACATAATTGAACTGAATGAAGTAATGATAATAAAAACCATTAATGATAATATTTACGACTACGTGTGAAACTACTTCAGAGAAAATCGAGACTTTAATCATTTGGATTTCTCACTGAATACAAATAATAATAAAAAATCAAAGTCCTGAAACACTTTCACTGTGTTTGTTTTGGCACAAAGACGACGTCATTGAAAAGTCGTCGGGTTCAGTGACTGTTAACGTGTTTACGAGTCTTCGTGACGCAGAGTTAACTACAGAATTAAAGGTCTGGTGCTTTGAGCTGAATGAGCGTCCCAGTCCACAGACTCTGACTGCAAATGACATCATCACCCCAAATGGTGATCTGACGCTGGCGAGTCGTCAATAAACTATTTAAAAAAATAAACTGGTCTGAACTTTTCAATCCTGAAGATTCGGAACAAGTTTGCACATATTTCGTTTTTGGACGCTGCAGAGTGAGACTGAGGTTTGATGCTGAGCCCTGGTGAACGACACGCTGTTGGCACGGCAACGGACGGTGGACGGACTTTATAGAAACCTACTGAGAGGAGAAGGAATGAGGAAGTGTCTCCGTCTGAGGGGAAATATTTATTCATCTGTTACATCATTTGGTCCCGAGACACAACTCAGACTGAGACGTGAGGAGAAATCCACAAAGTGTCTCCAAAATAAAAAACTCCACAGAAACATAACGAGGCTTCGCTGCCAAGTCACAGGAACATTTCAATAAAACAAAGAAGCTGCAGACGTCGACTCCGCAACTTAAAAAAAAACTTAAAATGTCGCCCTCTTTCCTTCGATAAAACTTTGTCTTCCTTCAGACGTCTGAACATGTGGCCCAGCGGGTGATGCTTCAGGCCTCTGTACACATTAGTCCCACAGAATCAAACTGACCTGATGTTTGATTAAATGATTCTAAACTCTCATCACTGAAGCAGCAAAAGTCAAATTCTGAAATTCTGACTAGATAAACCAGAATTTAATAAAAAAAGACGTCAGTGATTCGTTGAAGGAGACGAGGGAATCGAACGCACGTCTGTGTGTCATCATGTGATGAGAAGCTTCGGCTGTAAAAAGATAAGGAAACCAAACTGCTGCAAAAGATTTCACTTCAGGGGACAATCGGATTTCAGCTGGGGACAGTGGACCGCCCGTTTAGAACTCAGAAGAAGAGGACTAAAAAACTGACGGACGGATGGACAGACGGACAGATGGACAGACGGACGGACAGATGTTTGGATGTTTCACACCTGCCTCTCTGAACACAGGAGCACAAGCTGTTCGGTTCAACCAGTTAATTTCATGCGAGGCAGAAACTAATGAAACAGGAAGTGTTGGAGACGTCAGTGAGTGAAGTGAGGATGAGGAGTGAACTGACCTCTGCTCCTCCTCGATCTCCTCTTTGGTCATCATGGACTCAAACTTGCTCTGTTTCTTTCCAGGAGTGAACTTGACCTGATCTTCAGCTGCAGCCACGTCTGAAACACATCAGCAACATACGACCGTCATACAACACCACGGTTTGTCCTGAGCAGATCATACATGTACTGAAGATACACTTTTATTATTTGACTTTGATGTCAGTTCAAAGTGAACTCAGGCTATACTTTTATCAACAGGTTTCATCGTCTGCTGCTGACGTGTCCTAACAGTGATTTGTCCTCAGGCTGTGGTGAGTCAAACTGATCCGGATGCAGCAGACTTACCGTCGTTCAGGAAATCCTCTGGTTCTGGTTCTGGTTCAGTCTCAATCAAGAGTTCAGGGGTCAGCAGGATTTCTTCTGCGAATCGAGGGATAAGCTCCGGTAAAATGTCCTCCACCAGCGGGAGCACTTCAGGCACCGGTTCAGATTCCACAAGAGTCTCTGGATCAGATTCTGACTCTGGTTCTGGGACTTCAACTGGTTCTGAGACTTCAACTGGTTCTGNCTGGTTCTGGGACTTCAACTGGTTCTGAGACTTCAACTGGTTCTGAGACTTCAACTGGTTCTGGGACTTCAACTGGTTCAGGCACAAGTTCTGGCTCTGGAACAGCTTCTGGTACAGCAGCTACTTCTTGTGCTGAAACTGGTTCTGGTACTGTCTCTGGGACTGGTTCTGTCTCTGGGACTGGTACTGTCT